TTTCCCCTTCTTTTTTCTGGGACCTCTCCTGAGTGCCATGAGTCTTCCAATAACTTTGCCATGGGTTGCACGATGACGTTGGTCAGTTCTTTTAGCACTCCAGGGTTCAGTTTGTCTGGTCAAGCTGACTTATAGTTATTTACACCCTTTGTAGGTGTTCCCCCACAAAATCTACACCAACTATGGGGAGGGAGGTCACCCCCACCATGGCCATCCTGTATCTTGTCAAGCAGGCTAATACCTTTGGACTTGTAGACTACCAGTGTGAAGTATTCATTCAGGAGTTTGGTTTTGTCCTGGGTGTCGGTTAACAGCCATTCCATTTCATTCATCAGGAGCCCTATGCTTCCCTTGTTCCTTCTGTGACTTTCTACATATCTAAAGAAGGACTTTTTGTTGTCTTTGATTCCAGTTGCCAATTTATATTTGGTTAGTGCTTTCGCAGTCCTGATCTGCTCCCTACAGGTGTGAGCAGCTGCTAAGTTACTCCTCTTTGGTAGCTGTTCCCGACTTCCATCGCTTGTAGGCTTCTTGCTTTAATTTCAGGAGGTCCATTACTTCCCTGTAGAGCCAAGGGGGTCTCCCCAGCTCCTAATTTCAACAAGAGTTAGACTGAATCCCTATACCTGTTGCATCAAAAATCAAAACTGCTGCCTTTCAAAAACAGTATGTATGGGCCTTTACAGCTTTCACTAATCTGATCCTATTTCCCACTTTTGTAATCAGGGGTGTAATTAAAGTTTTGGCGCCCTGGTGGTGCAGAGGGAATAAGCCCTTAGCTCCTCTGGAAACTGCAGTGGTGGCGGCACACCTTCTGAATTGAAGCCTAAGGCAAGTACTTTACCCACCCACTATAGGTTAGCCATTACGTTTACATATTTAACCTGTTTTACTGTAATAGTAAGAACACTACTTAAAAAAAGGTTATGATGAATCTCTGGAATGGTAAATCATCATATCAGCATTCCATAGCAGAGAAATACCAACTCCCTTCACTTTGGAAAGTTTTCAAATTCTCTAAAACCTATAGTCGCTGGGTGTATCTACACATACAATTAATGCAAAGCAATAACCTTCAGACCAGTCTGAGCCAGAGTAAACCACTCCTCAGCACAGCATCTACACGTACGCCCAGGACAGCAGCAATTTGATCTGAGGCAAAGCAGTTATGGGCTCGCAGAGGTGCATGGGGGGAGGGCGGGACTGGCTGGGACACGGGGTTGCTGACAAAGTGTGGAGCTGTGTGGCTAGGCAGCAGGCAGTAGTCTGTGCCCCTGCTGACCAGGTGCAATTTACACTTGTGGTCAGCATCTATACCTGTGTTTAACTGCAGTCCATTACCCTGCTGTAAGACAGTACTAGCTTACTGTGGCATAAATTAGTTTACTGCAGTTTAATACGGTCGCATGTGAAGACAATGATACCTTTACTTCACAGCTAATTAGTTTACTCCATAGTAAAGCCACTGTGCACTTTTAGTGTTTCTTTTCTACCACAGCAATAAGAACAGACCTACAATATACTGTTACAGAAAGGATACATAGTAATATTAATTTTGAATTTCATATCAATTTGATCAATTTAACTTTTAACCTAGAAATTACTTTAACATTAAACGTTGTTCCAGAGAGACTGCCAGTGAGGTGGGGGAGAAAGCAGCACACCTTGGGATGCTAAAGGGGCCAGGAAAGACCTAATATGTGACATGCCACAAATTCAATTTAAAGCTTAACACCAGCTACCAAAATGGCCTACATTTTTCAAGCAGCATCTTTGTAGCTGGCTGGACATTTTATATCTGGATGGGCATTTTTATTGTACAATAATTATTTTGTGCGTGTAGCTGGTCTAAGTGTATAGCACAACTAACTAGTTTATTGCATAATTAATATAATGTGTGTCAAGGCCCTCTGGTAGAATCAAGGAATCAAACCTAGATCTCTAGACATCTTTAATTACAAGGTCAAACTCTGGTCCTTTAGTTTATTTTTAATTACACTTTTGGGCTAATCTAATCATGCTTTTCTTTTCTTGTATATGTAAAATATAGAAGGTAAGTCAATGAACCACATTTGAATTACCAGCATGTGAAACAAAATGTTTAAAAAAAAAAGCTGACTACTTGTGAGATTTTTCTGTACTTCAATAGCACCAAAAAATAGAGATAAATCTTTCTGTTTATAAAAGTGATGTTCTTTAATTTCTTTGCCTCTTTGGACACAAGCATCTGAAATACTGGATTGTTTATACTGCAAGGATGCATGCCCAGGGCTATATTGCATCCTAAAGTATATGCAACTTTCTAATGGGAGACGTTGGTAAAAGAGGGGAAACAAAAGAATCCTTTCCATATTTTAAAGACCTGCAGGTGCACATCAGAAACAGTCAAATGTTGATTACTTAAATAAGCAATTGTACAGTTAAACACGCTAAACCTTATTTTTCTTTTTAATTATTTAAGTTTGTAAAGAAGTTGAAGTTTTACAATTTAATTTTAGAAAATTCCTACTGAATTGAAATGTCTAATGTACATTTCCAGGCCAAATATATATAATTCTGGAAAGTATGATGAAAATAGGTCAAGCTATTTTATTAGCCGAGACATCAGAAGTTATATAAAAGTAAAACAAAATATTACATTTACACATGGGGTACCTGTCATAGTTCATATAAGTAAAATAACTCTGAATATGTAACTTTTCTGTAAGTAAAAACTGCATTACGTTTATTTCATTTAAATAACAACACAATTTATTAGCTAAAGCTTTTAACCTATTCTTGTTATTTGTAACTCCCAATGTTACTGTCACTGAACAATCACATAAAATTGTTTTTTTATGTATTTCAAATATTTTACTTGGGGCATAAACACATATTTCGAGCCATCTGAAAAGGATAACATTTTGAAGGGGAACTGCTGACTGAGAGCACAAGCTTGGAGTGATACAATTGTACCAGAACTGCTTGAACTTTAACCTTGGATGAAATAGTGTTAACACTGGAGCTGTTTTGCTACTTCTGTATTGTTCCCAGCTTGTGGGTGTGTAACTGTTAGAACAACAACTGCTGCCAGGTCTGGAACAAGAGTCCCTCCTCCCCTTTTGAAAGGGTTCCAAAAGTATGTTTGTTCATATCCTTCATATATTTGAATCTAGACTATATTTACTTTCTCCAGCTGTTTGTGCAAGTCTTTCACACAACCAAGAACTAAAACAATTTTCTTAAAAAAGCAAACCAAATGTAATACTGTGATGGGGTACCAGGTTGGTACCAGGGCAGGACACCAGTATGGGCAGGGGGAGCACAAAAATAGCAGCAGCCAGAGCTGCTGACCAGCTGCTACCACCAGCCTCCCGGCTACCACCTCTGTTCCATACACCGCCACTGCCCAAGGCACAGAACTGCTCTGTTATGCCTCTGACCAAATGTGAACAAGCCATAAAACCAAACATGAGCAAGCCATAAAACTAGCATAGGAAATGATCTATGCTCTTTTCTTAAATTAACTAGATTCAGTTGATGCTGTGTTTCTCTTTAATGTTTCCAAATTGTTACTTCATAGTTAATAATCAACCCACTATTCAAGTTCACATTTGGTTTTCCAGGAACTTAATATATTTATAAAGTTATTGGAAATCAGGTGGAAAACCTTTACAAATAATAGTCAATTGAGTGTTAGCTGAATTCACCAAACACTGCTTCTACATAATTAACTGTGAATTACATGGTTCAGTGAAATCTACAAATAATAAAAATGTAAAAAAGAAAAAGGGTGATTGGGTAATGTAGCCCAACTCCTTACTAGGAAAGAATTGCTTTATATGGTATTTTCAAATGCCTTAACAAGTTAACAAGGGAAATAACTAACTTTCTCAGATCTGAAATGCAAGATAGAGTAAAAAAACCAACGGATTTTGTTCCCAACTTGGCAACAGATTTTCCATGTGATCCTAGCAGGCCAGTTCAATAATCTGTAAAATATGAATACATACACATATACACACATGTGTTTCTGTAAACCTAAATTCATTTATATTTTTACATCAGTTTGACTAGCTTACATTGAAGGATCTGTAGAAGTACACAAATAATTAAGACTTGCTAACAAGGCAAGATGACAAAATAATATACAGTTTGTAATGTTGGTGATGTGCACTGCAATACTCAAGTACAGCTAAGTGTATGAAGGACAAAGCATATCTGGTAAGTATAAAAGAAAATGCATACATTCTTTCTATAAAGTCTTAGCTGCTACCTAATGTCAAATCCAAGTAGGCTTTGTAACAGAATGTCAGTGTTATACAGGCAAAGGTTCCAGGCTGAAACAAGTACCATCTGAGAATAAAGAAGCAGACTTATGATCTGGAGCATTTCTCTACAGCTCGACAAAGAATTTTATATAAATATAAATAATTCAAATTCCACATTCACAGAATGCCTTATTTACAAGGGAAGTATGTGATCAGGAGGAAGGATGTACCAAAGTACAAGTGAGGCTATAAAAACTGAAGGACAAATTTAATTTTTTTTTCTTTTTGTTGAAGAAGAATTAAACATGATTAACTCCAATTTTTTTTTCCTATTTCAGCTTCCTGGGAAGCACACTAGACAACTAAAGGCTCCTCAACTTTATTTTACTGATCAGAAATGCATAGGAACCTTGACAGTCATATTATCAATGATTCTCTAGCAACTCTTGTGGCTAGCTTGCATCTCAGAGGAAAATAACCCCTGTCCAATATGAGCAAAGAAACAGCAACAGCCACATTTAAAACATGTGAAAATAGTGGTATGGTTCTGATACCAGTGTAGACAGGATCCAAATAGAATCTGAGTACAAGCCAGATAATGTGTTACCTTTAGGAAGAAAAAAGCAGCAGCGGTGTCCTCTTAATTACTTTTAAAACCATAAAAGACAGTACAACTTCATAATACCATGAAGGAAGGGTTATTCTCACATCATACTTGAACTATGAAATCACAAAGGCTGGAAGACTTACTGAAAGGTGTTGTATCAGTAGGGTCAGGAGGTGGAAAGTTTTCAGTGAAGTTGACATTACACAAGTCAGTGCTACAACAGCAGAAGCGATATGTTCCATTCTGAATCAAGGAAGGGGTGGTTGTTACTATACACTCTTCAAAATGACACTCTTGTGGATCTCCTATGTGAGACCAGCATCCTGTAAAAGGAAGCAAGTGAAATGGCACTAAAATAAACACTCGTAATAAAATCAAATGTCATATAAACTATATATTCTTTTCAATATCTGTCATACTTGTACTGGAAAGAGAAGGCACCTGCTTTGGTCTCCCCATCCTAAAAACCACCATTAGCCTTATATCATTTTGCATCTTCAATTGCCTAACACCTCTTCTCCCTAGTATCTCCAAACTCTATCTATAACCACTACTGAGAATGCTTCCCTTGCAGTTCTCTCTTAGACATCCTTCCACATTATATACAAACCTGAAAAATTCTTATCAGAATCTCCAATGCCCCAGGCCCAATTTCAGGGCCAGTGCTCCATCTGCTTCCCTGATTTATTAACTGCCTTTGACAACTTTGAACATGATCTTGAAATCTTGGCTCCCTCAACTTTCATGACTCCCTTCCATGGTTTTCCCACCTCCTCTCAGATGTTTTTAGAGATAAGGTTGAGCCTCTTAACCCTTACTATTATTCCCCACAGCATAAGCCTCATTAGATCTTTGCCTCATTAGATCTTTCTCTTTTTTCCCCCACAGCATTTCACTAGGTTTTACAGTCTGCTACTAAGACCTCACTGACTACATTCCCACTAGCGACTCAAACTTACTTTTCTCTGAACACCTCTCCATAACCTTCATTTCTGCCTATCCTTCTAAACATCTCTTCAGGGGTGGCCAACTGAAAGCTTCAACTCAACAGCCCAAACTGATTTCTTAATCTTTCCACTTTGCCCATTTTTCTGACATCTCCTCACCAACACCACCAAAAGATCAAGCTTCTTGTCTTTAAAGCCTGTAAAACTTAATACTGTCCTACCTACTGATCTGGCAGCTTTTTTGTGATGTTCCCCATCTGTTTCCTTTCATTACTGTTCCAGTGTTTACTGCCCACACATTATCTTTTGCTAATGCTGCCTTTATGCCAAGAACAAGTCATTGAAAACCTGTGAAAACATTATATTCTTTTTCTTCAAATCTCTTTAATCCTTGTTTCTGCTGTGCTGTCTATAAACCTTTACATCCACTGGCCCTGACTGAGTCTTATAGTGCTGCCGTGGCCACGATGGTCTAAAGAGTATGTAAGAAGCATGGTTTGCACGGTGAGGCAAGATCTTTTATTGAGCCAACTCATAGCTGAGAGAGATGTTAGACAAGCTTACAGACAAACACTTCAGGTTAGAAAAGAAGCTGATGCAGCTTGAGCTAAGTAACAGTGAGAACAACTACTTTTATTGGTGAATGTGACCATTTAAAATGGAAAGTTGGCAGAAAAGTGTGGAGCAAAGAAATTATCAGAACTAATTACAATCCAGGTAAAAATAGTTGCTAGAGTAAAACCTAATTATGTAAATGAATAAGATCTTTGATAGGCAGGTGATAAGTTGCTGCTACTATTCTTTCCCTAATCCTTCCTCCTATGCTGTTATTCTTCCTAATTCCCCTATTTCTTTCATTCTCTCTCACCCTACCTCTACCCCATTCTTAAAAAAATGTGCCACAGAATTGCTTGAAGTATAACAATAACTACAACTGAGTGGGAGAACCACTGTCTTTAAATGAAGAAGGTTTGATCCAGCTGTTATGTTACTGAAATAACCAAAAGTACAGAACCCCTCAGGCCAGAAAGTCATAGCATAAGATGCCCACAAGCACCATCATTACCTGGAGGACTACAGTAACTCAGTGCTAACCAGGAAATACCCTGGCCACAATTTAAAGATACTCTCCTATGGTAGGAAATCCAAAGGGGGCACAGTAATTCAAGAACTCCTGAATATAGCATCCCAGCTGGTACAAATGCTTGTAATCTGCAACTGTGATGCCAACAAAAATAATCAAGCCCCAACAATTTCCTCTAACTATGGACTTCAAGCTTTTGAGGAAAAAAGAATGTTTTCTACATCCAGAGAGGACTGAACGAAATACCACTCAGACAAGTTTTAGTACTGAACAAAGAGAAAGAGAGTATGTAAGTAATGCAGTATATTAATATTCAACCTTTCTACTCTCAGTATTAGGATTCTATCTTGAGCTAAGCTGCAAGAAAAACATTTCTGGTGCTTTCACCTAGTTCCCAGGGGTATTTAAATAATTTACTCAATTACCACACAGTGTGGTAATCTTGTGTCTTTCAGTCTCTGCTGATAAATGGATCAGAACTGGAATTTTGAAAAATACATTAAAACGTTGTTGCTGTTGTTACTGGTAGCGTACATTTTGGGCACATTTTAAAGAAAATATATTTAGATCTTTTTAAGAAATACAGCATACCACAGATGACATTGCAATCCTATTTTTTCCCCAATACCTGCAGTGAGACACTCCCACACACTCCTAAAGAAAGGTAAACCTCATTAGAAATCTGACTGAATTTGAGAAAATATTGATCACAGCTGTAAAACAAAAAGGCCTATTATCTGTGCTATATAAATCAACTGTAAATATCCATATAAAAGGGAAAAAAAAAAACACTGTTGACGCCAAAGTCGGCTATTGACACCGGATCAAAAATTGGTGCTGAAGATTGGGAAACCATCCGGAACGATGGTCCTCATATCCAGCTGCACAATAATAAAAGAACATTATTTTAAAATCTGATATTGGTATCTCACCCAACTCAAAATAAAATGCATTTACGGTATAGAAACAAGCAAACATTGGAGGGAGTGTGGTCATCTGGGAGGATTCTACCATGTGTGGTGGACATGTCACAGAATTAAACTGTTCTGCCAGAAGGATGGAAACATGGTGAGGGAAACAACAGGATCATGGATATCAGATAACCCCTTAGTGTTCCTACTGAACTTTCCTCAGAACTCTGCAACATATAAGTGACTTAAGGAATCTCTTCTGTCCTACCAGTGAGCGGACGTGGAAGATGGCATGCAACGTGCATCGTGGAGACCAGCTGGCGGCTTCGGTAATGGTGTCTCAAGGCAGGCTTTGGCTTCCTCAACAATGACTGGCACATCATGACAAGAGACATGCTCGGATGGGATGGGCTCCACCTTTCCCCTACAGGTAAGCATGTGTTTTCTTCTAGGTTGGCGGATCTCCTACGGTGGGCTTTAAATATAGGCTCGTTGAGGAAAGGGGAAGATGAGGGCGGAGGAAGCACTGGACTGCCAAACCAAGCAACACCCACAAGTACAGCCAAGCCTAGGCCAACAAGCAGAACATATACCCAGGTAAGCGACAGGGACCAGGATAACGCTGAAAGTAGGGGGCCAGTGCACACATCCACAGGAGGCCTCAAATGCCTCTACACAAACGCTCAAAGTATGGGGAACAAGCAAGAGGAACTTACCCTCCTGTTAGCTGACACCAACCCAGACATAGTGGGGCTCACTGAAACGTGGTGGGACCCAGTGCATGACTGGGCAGTGAATATCAAGGGCTATAGGCTGTACAGGAGGGATAGGACAGGTAGGAAAGGTGGAGACGTGGCGCTCTACATTAAGGAGGAATAAACATCCTTGTCAATTAGCAAAGAATCAGAGGAGGGGCACTCTGAAATGTTCTGGGTTAGAATACAAGGCAGTCAAGGGGAAAGAGATTTACCAGTGGG